AATTAATGCATTTAGCAATTAATGCATTTTAATTAATGCAACGCTTTTATCCAAAGCGACTTACAGTGTATTCAGGCTATACATTTTTTATCAGTATGTGTGTTCCCTGGGAATCAAACCCACGACCTTTGCGCTGCTAACGCAATGCTCTACCACTGAGCTACAGGAACATTACTAAATACACTTAAAACTATGTACTATATCTGGATTTTATGCAGATATAAAATTTATGTATATGTAATGGCCGTACATTTATTCAACGGTAATTTAGCGTCAAACCCTTGCTTTTAGCCAATCACACTTTTGCGGCACTGAAACCTCCCTGAACAACACTAGCAGTGTGTTATGCTTTGTGATTGGCCAGCGTCTCGTGGGTCAGATATGAGAGAGGGCTAATGAAAGACCCCATTGAGCAGTCGGACAATCGCTCGGCAATAACAGTACATCTTCACTCTGGCCAGGCGAACAGGACAGCGGCCGGCTGAGTCCCTTCATATTTAATGTGCACTAAAGCAGTGCTCTAAACCTTTCTCCACTGGCCCGTTCACAGCCCTATGCACAAATGACCCCATATGTCACCTAAAATAAACATGATTCCAATCAAGCGGCTAGATTACAAGATGGGATGGTTTTGAGGGGAAAATGTTTTTAAAGACAAAGTGTATGTGGTTTCTGTGCCTCAACATCACCAAACAGAATAGCAAAAATAATGAACGTGTTCAAACAGGTTTCCCGAACACTACATTTGTCATCGGTTAGGTCTAACCGATCTCGTCCTAAACTGGTTGAGCTAATGTTGCTGGGTTAAGTTTGTTGGCATGTTCAAACAATAGATAAATTTTTTTGTCCTTGTATATTAAGCTGGGATACAATGAAGTGAAATAAATAAATAAATAAATAAATACATACATACATAAAGTAGCCTACAGACCTCATAGTGCTTCCTCCATTGACATATTTACTTTACATATTTATTTAATTCACTGAAACAAGACATTGTGGCATAGCATACTGAAGTGTAAATTTGACAGTAAAATTTATTGAATAATAACAATTGTGAAATGTATTAAAAGTTATAAATAATTTTAAATAACTTTTGTCAAGTAATATCACTTAGCTTATTATCTTAAATTTAGAAACATGGTGCATTAATATGTGCGGCCACAATATAGTAAAAGCTATAAATATGTATAATAAATATAATAGATGCCCATGTTAAACAAAAAACATTTATTTTTAATAATAATAATTTATTAACAGTAAAAAAATTATAAATAATTGTAAACAACTTTTGTCAAGTAATATCACTTATCTTATTATCTTAAACTTAGAAACATGGTGCATTAATATGTGCGGACACAATATAGTAAAAGCTATAAATATATAAATATATATAATAAATATAATAAAATACACAAATGTTAATGTTAAAAATACTTACATTTATTTTTAATAATACTAATTTATTAATAATAAATTATAAATAATAATTACAAAATAAAAAATAAAAAACAAAATTAAAAAAATAATTCTAATATATATATATATATTTTAAATAACTCTTCAAGTAATTTATCTTATTTTAAATGTACAAACTAGTTGCATTAATATAGATTAAGACTTTAAAGATGTTTCTTTTCAAACTTAAAATGAGTCTGTATCTTAAGTGGTTAGATGTGAAAAAGTGTGAGAATAATAATAAAAAGTAGTATGAGGTATTTCAACACACTACTTGTCTTCTTGAATGTCATTTGAAGTACCTCTATTGTATTTCAATTTATTTTAAATTAATTTTGGACTATAAAATAAGACAACATGGGCAGGGAATTGAAATGCAGAGCCTGTGGTTGGACAATGTTATATTTCCAGTGAGTTGTGTCAGGCAGGGAAGGGCTCCAGACTGATATTACCTGTCAGCCCGCTCTCAGACAACCCCTCCACTGACTGACAGCTCACTTGTGGCAAGCTGGATGAGCCAGAGAACCGCGAGCACCAGCACAGACACTCTTTATATACAGCTTGAGAGACAGAGAGAGAGCAAACGAAGAAAAACGGCAAACTGAAGACAGAAGCGATAAGAAAGGGTGATGGAGGACAGCGAGGGCTATGAGAAAATTTGTTAGCCACAAAGAATAAAAAAAAGGTAGTTTGATCACTCCACAACGTGAAGGAAAGAAGACGAGAGCTCAGAAGTCGCTGTGGTTGATAAAGCGGAGCCTAAGGGAGCGTTCAGTGAAAGACAAGTTTGTTTTTTTCTTCTCGCTGAGGCAGCGAGCGTCGTCCTCTCAGGGGATGCGCGGTTGGTTTTTCGCTGCCATCTCTAAAACGCTGCGCTCAGGCAGTGCAACACTGAAACTGTTGCCTGTTTGTGTGCCTGCTGGTCATCTGACGCACTTTCTCTCGGCTAGGCCGGACCGTGGGGGTATTAACACTTGTAAACAGCAGTCCGGCTGCCTGTGCGCCTTAGTGTTGCCTGGCAGGACTATAATGGTAATGAAGCCTTCAGCAAGGTTGTCTTGCCTCACACTGTCAGGGGCTGACACAATGCCCTGGTTAGGGAGAAAGCAGAGCAGATGGAGCCCGTGTGTTTGTGTCACCGAGCCACTGCTTGTACAGCGTTTCCATACTATTATAAGATTAATACCCGTGTGTTTTAAACCAGATGTTTTTCAAATCATAATTATGCTAGCATACAAACACATCTTGAATACAGTACAGATGAACTACATGGGATATAATAATGATATTTCTCACTTTTTAGAGAAAAGCCTTGGACCTGCTAAATGTTAACTATTCACTTTGGACCTAAATATTAAAAAAATGAACCAAATATGAACTTTTCTGGAAAGGTCTAAGCTAAAATAAAATAAATAAATAAATATGTGTTTTTGAAAACATGTTCGAAGACAGCCATAAATAAATAAATAAATAAATAAATGTTTAGATGATGACAACAACAACAACAACAACAGTATTAGGAATAGGCTCTCCATTAAAAAATATACATAGGATAAAATATACCACATTATTTGAAATTATGACTGATTTTAACATTTCATTTCCGGTAACATAATATTTCAACACTTTAAGTTAGGGAAAAGTAATTAAAAGTAAAGATACACAATAAAAAGGTTTAAAACTATAACCTATCCTTTAAAACTAGAATGATGGTATGAGGAATAACCTTCAGAAGTCAATCTCTGATCATCTTTTACAAGAACATTGCTTTGAAAAGGGTTGTCAACAAAATTGCAAAAATTTGATTTTTTTGGAGTTTTAAAAATCCTTTTCAAGTACCTAATGATCACATCTATCAATTAAATTACGTTAATTGTAAATTCGTTTTGAAAGAAGTCTTTTATGCTCCCCAAGGCTGCATTTATTTGTCAGTAAAAAGTATATTTTATAATATATTTTTAAATGTAATTTATTCCTGTGATGCAAAGCTGAATTTTCAGCATCATTACTCCAGTCTTCAGTGTCACATGATCCTTTTTTTGTAGATTTGTTTGTAGCATTATAAAAGTTTTTGACCAATTTAATGCATTTTAATAATAAAAAAAAATCTTACTGACCCCAAATTTTTGAACAGTACTGTAAATTAGTAATACATTTCCGATAAAGCACCCTATTTGACAGAAGATCAAAAAACTGCACTTGGATTTATGCCGGCCAGCAATTATGTATTTTTAATATTTGCATAATGATTTATTTTTATCACATATCACCTTGCAAGAACTCCCATTTTCCTGAAGAAATACAAATCTGTTTCCTGTTTATATCCATCTGACAGAGAAGTAGCTTGCCTGTACAATAGCAGACGTGAAGCACAATGCTCACATGGTCTAATGTTAATTGATTTTTCTTTCCCTCTCTCAGTTTACAAAAGACCGCCTGTCAACCGAACATCCCCGCGACCCGTGCGCTCAGTGACTTTTCCTTCTTTTGAGCAGGAACCCTGAATGCAGCTCAGTGCCGCCCAGGGACACGCGGACCGTTGTGATATTTCTACACAACACTCCACATCTTCCCTCGGCTTTCCCAGCACCAATGTATTGTTGCACCAATTCCAGCACTAATATCCTGTCGACATGAAAATGACTTGCACTTATCACTGCCTGCTTCTCTTTCGTTTTATTCCTTCATTCCCCGACGCTCATTTGGCATTAGCATTTAAACTATTGCGCTGAGCCGCCTTGCAGTCAGAAGCTGAGAAGTCGCAGCTAGCGTGTTAGAAAACACTAGGCGGCTTCAAAGCATTTCCCTCGGCTGGTGTATTAGCAGAAAGGCTGTGATCTGATAAAGGCCTTTAATTCGCCGCTTTGAAAGGAGTTTACTGAAGTTTTGCTCATTTACATGCCGCCTAATATTCCTTGTGCACAAATAATGAGGCAGATTACCGAGGGCTGAACGTACACGTGAAGTACAAACCATTAAACGCGTGAACAGCTGCCTTTGTCGAATCTCAGTTTGGGATTCTATATTTTTTTGTTGCTGCTGTTATGTAAATGGAATGTGTGAGGAAAAAGACATAAAATAAACCAATTATTTTCTCCCCAAAGTCAAAGCTTGATTCAAACTTGGAAAAATTCGATCGGCATGGCGTACTTTAACCTTAGCACTCACTTTGCTCCAAGTGCTTCCTTTTACCAGAAAAAATGGTAAAACCGGAGCATAACGACTAAGCGCAGCTCTATAATGTTCTTTCACCTTTGAGATTGCACAAGTGCAAGCGGCCACTTTGTGTATTGGGCAGCGCTGTTATTACGTGGATTTTTACGAACTAACAACAAGTAAATGGATGGATGCAAGTCCACAGGTTTAATGCTAATGCTGCATTAATGAGCACTTGTTCCTTAAGCTGTAGAATTATGGGAATTACATTTAGCTCCTTAATGGCATGTCGGAGGACTGTAATAAGGAAAACAACGTGAGAGGAAAGCCGGGGAGGGGTAATCATCAGTAAAGGGGTGTTGTAAAACAGCTGTGAAGTCTCTCACCCTTCCTTTGGCTTCCTCCAGTGTGGCCACAGGCTTTCCTTTCTGATGGCGGGCAGTTGGAGGCGACTGGCCGTCCCAGTCCTGGAGCTCCTCAAGGCTTCTGAGGTAGAGCAGGGCTTTCAGACCGGTGCAGTAGTCTTCAATCACCGTGAAGTCCTGGTTTTGTACTGCACTGCACACCTGTGTGAAAAACACAATTTCCTTTAATAACTGTGCACGTCTGAGCTGTGGTCTAGTGATTAGTGCACATATTGGTAATGCAAGTTTAAATCCGACCTGCAACATTTTCCAATTCCATGTCCTATAACATTCCTGTCCCCTCTCCACTACTATACTATAAATAAAAGGGCAAAATGTCTAAAATAAAAATCACAATACACCTCCACATACACGCAACATCACGACAGAATGGCACCCTCTTAAAGCTGCTGTAAGCATATATTTTTTTTAATACCACATATAAAATATCCCTACAACCGACAAATATCACTGAAACAGTTGTCCTGAGAATTCACGTGTCTCTGTGGTAGCCCTAGACTGTAAACATAAATAAGTAAATGAATGAATGAATGAATAAATAATAAATAAATAAATAAATAAAATTCATTTATAAAAAAAAAA